TGAAATATATGAGTTTGTATGTAATGTATGAATATAATATACAAGTTTCACTTTTTAAATGGAAATACTGAAATAAATCTACTTTTTCATGATATTCTAATTTTATGACCAGCACCTGTATAAGGTCTAAATGCTAACTCTTGGTACCTCTGTAAAGGTAAGATCTTAAAGATAATTTCTTAAGTGAAACCACTATTGTAGCTCTTACTGTGCCTGAGTTATTTGTGATTAAATAAAGAAACTTTGTATTTTTTTTAGCCTCGCCTAAATTTTTTTAAAATCAACATTGCAAAACACAATGAAACTTCTTGTGAAAACCCAGGAATGCCCTTAGATTTTATACATTTACATCTTGAGAAAAATTGTAACTTAAGTAGGACTGAATAAGTTGAAGTATATTCATTTCACAAAGGTTTTAGTGAGCAGTGTGCCAGGCCGAAATGGCACTTTGCCACAATTTAGTCAAATGCACCCAAAACTGTGCCAAATGGGTTTTTTTTACTTTATAAAAGAGAATCTGACCTAATAAAAGTGTTGATTTCTATTGTAGGACTCATTCTGCATATGACTTGACCTTTTCTTTTTACATTTACACTGTGCATCATCAAAATCTACCATTGTGCACACCATGAAATCACTGAATGGAACCAACTCCGCCTCGACCCTTTACACATGAGGGCTGTTATTTATACTGTTTGTTACGCACAAATGTCACATCACCAAACAAAGAGTAACACAGTGTCAAGATATTTCCCTGAATTCGTGAGAGCCTCATCTTTTCAAAGATACCAAAGGGAGGGGTGTGGAACCAAAACTTGCACAGCAACAGATGCGGAGAACTTCCTGATACTGAAACGGTCCGCGACGGTTCAAGTAACTTACAAATGTGTATATAGCTCTAAAATCATAAATATTTATGCAAAAAATAATTTGGTGACTCATTTTAAAAACATTAAAGACACTTTTTGTGACGGGCTTAGAAAAAATTTGGGAAAAATAAGTTTTACACCTTTTTTAGCAAACAAAAATGAATGACACCATCTGCTGGCCCTGTACAGGGCCCGTTGGGCTTTACACCAACCCAGTGCTTATTTCTTATTTTTTAAACACTTTTAGTGGTTTCTGAACTATTTTGAGGTACAGACAAACAAACATATAGAGGCACAGATAACAATGGGCCTCATGAAAGAACATGTTCGTATTCTTCTCCTAAATTTCTCTTACTTTTGTTCGTACAAAGGGTTCGTACGAACATGTCACGTCAGATTCAAC